GGGATCCATCATCATATTGAGAGTAAACAAGGCGATTTTACATTGAAGAATCAAGAAATTCATTGTTTGAGTTGAAGATTAAACTTTCAAATTCTTCATCATATTCCTTGTATTAGGTGATGTCTTTTCTTTTTTTTTTTTTTTTTTTTTGTGTAATTTTCATATGGCTATGCTAGGCTAAACAACTTATGTATTGAATGAATAATAAAGCTTATTGATTTGTGGATTTAGTACAAGACTTATCGTTTTTTAGTTGATTCTCGTGTTTGTGGTTTGATATGCATTAAAACTGTTTGTTTGAATGTTTGCGCACCATTTAGGCAATTAAGTTGCTTATTTATAGTGTTGGAAAACTCATAATAAGTAGAATATTGCATGTTGAACACAAAGGAAATAGATATTAGGACTAATGTTTGTGATGTGTACGATCACAATCGTAACTTTTTACTAATCTCGGGTAACATTGAAATGTACCCATTTTCTTGATTAATTCTGTGTGGATTTTAGTTAACAATGATCAAATTTTGCAAAAATGCAGGACTTGATTGATTTGATTAATTTGATCAATTTGCAAAAATGTGGGTTTTGATTAATTCTTGGGAAAATTTCAGCCGCGGTACCAAACCTTTCACTTTTTTGCAGACCTTACGCAAACCTTTGATTTGTGTCACCCACGGTACCAAACCTTTAAAAAATTCTCAGCTACATTACTCATTGACGGTTTCCGTCCATTTGACCACGAAAATCGTTAGTTGACCCCAGAATTCAAACCCTTAGAATTGTTGCAAGAACCCTCAAAATTCGCACCATCATTTTCAAACAACCTTTCCACAATATAGACATAATTCCAAGGCAACTTAGATTCCCACACAAAATCAAACGGACGGAAACCGTTAATGAGTACTGTAGCTGTGAATTTTTTAAAGGTTTGGTACTGTGGATGGCACAAATCAAAGGTTTGGGCAAAGTCTGCAATAAAGTGAAAGGTTTGGTACCGCGGCTGCAATTTTCCCTTAATTCTTTACATAAAATCTGGAATGAAAAAGCGTGAGGAGTTGAAATTGATCAAAACTTGCAGAAATGCTGGCTCTAATTAATTCTTTGTAGGTTTTAACTTTTTACTAAATTGATCAAGATTTAAAATGGCTGGTTTTCTTTCAAGTGCATGCAGGAAAGTGATGATAATTTTTACATTGAAAAAAGCTACTATTTGATTCCTTGCTATATTGTTTTACTTGGAATATTATCTTAAAATGTCAACCTTATTAAGAGGAGTAGCTCAAACCTTTATAAATTTGTCTATGTTTTCATCTTTATTCGATGTGGGATTTCATCCATTAACATGCATCCGTAACATGTGGCTTGTTTGAGCAAAAATTTTGAAGTCCGTGTGCTCACGTTTTGAGTCTTAATCGAATCGAATTGTTCTTTAGAGTTTAATGGGCTATGATACCATGTTAAGATTTGAGATTCTATCTTAAAATGTCAATTTTGTTAAAAGAAGTAGCATAAACCCTTATAAATTGGTCTATATTTTCATCTTTATTTGATGTGAGATTTCATCCCTTGACATGTATTTTTCTTCTTGTTTCTTTACCCAGATTTCATGGACTTTACTAATGTAGATACATATCTTGAATTTCTGCTACCTTCGAAATGATATTCTTTAAAAAAATCTGATCTTGGTTCTGACCTCAAAATCTTGTATGACCCTACTCTCAACAGAACCCAACCACTTCTCCTTCCACATCTATATTTCCATGTTGTAGTTCGGATTTCTAATTTGAAAATAGTCTTTTCTCCTGGAATTGAGAAAATATTGTATCTTATTTCTGCAATTGTCTACTGGATAAATTGATAACACAATTCATTCATCCAGATATTTTGAAGTACAATGCAATGAAGTAAATTTCTAGTAAAATTGCATGGTGGTGTTAATCACACATCTAAAGTTGGAACCTTTAAGTTTTCTACCGAATAATAGAATCCCCTCCCCACAATTTTCTTGATGCTAATTAGTACGATCGATATATAATTAGCCCAACTTTCTTGAAGTTTCTTCAGAATTAGTCTATCATATTGTACAGATTCTGTTAGAATTTGGGTGTGACCCGAATTTCTTATTGAAGTAATTGAAGAATTCCAATTGAAGTGCACGTCATGAAGAATTCAAATTTGGTATCAGAGCGTTAGGTTCAGCAGTTTTACAAGAGCGCAATGTTTGATTTGTTCGAGATTTTTTATTCGTAATGACTTCCATGGAGTATGACATTCCGCTTTTGGATCAGAGCACTAGATTTTCACTATGGCAGGTTAAGATGGGGGCAGTACTCGTGCAGCTGGATTTGGATGATGCGTTGCTGGGAATTGACAGGATGCCCGCAACTTTGACCGCGGAGGAGAAATTGCGGAAGGATAAGAAGGCAGTTTCTCACATTCATCTTCATCTATCAAATATGATTCTTCAAGATGTTTTGAAGGAGAATTCAGCAGTTTATTTATGGTTGAGGTTAGAGCAATTATGCATGACTAAAAGTCTAACAAGCAAGTTGAACCTCAAGCAGCGTTTATATTCGCATCGAAGGCAGAAGGAGGATCATTAGAAGATCATCTGGCTGTATTTAAGGATATTATTGCTGATTTGGAAAATTTGGAAGTAGAGTATGATGAAGAAGATTTGCCTTGATCCTATTGTGTTTATTGCCCGCTTCATTTTTTTTATTTAGAGAGACGATCTTGTATAATCGTTATACCCTCACCATAGAGGAAGTGTATGATGCTTTGTATTCAAAAGAGAAAATGAAGCATCTGGTTTCTGAGGCCAGAGATGGAGAAAGTCTGGTTTCTCATGGTGGTTCTAGAAGAGGTTGATCGAAATCTAAGTTCAGTAATCAAATTTGTAACTACTGCGAGAAGAAGGGGCACTTAAAGAAGGACTGCTACAAATTGCAGAATAAAGAAAGGATGGCTGCAAGTAGATATTCAGATATTTAGGCGAAGCAGACCTTGTGGAAAACGTTGTAAATGATGGAGATCTCTTAGCTATTTCTAGCATTGAGTCTAAACCGGAAGATGATTGAATTCTTGATTCAGCATGTGTGTTTCATATGTGTCTTAATAATGACTTGTTTGCTACATATATGAAACTATTTCCAAAGGTGTCGTGGTTATAGGAAACAACGCATCTTGTCGGGTTGCTGGAATTGGTACACTCAAATTGAAGCTTTTGTATGGGACAATTAGAACACTTGCCCAGGTTCAACATGTTCCAGATTCGAAGAAGAATATCATCTCGTTGTCTATCCTTGATTCAAAAGGTTATGAGTTTTTTGGTGGAGGTGGAGTTTTGAATGTTTATAAGGGTGCCCAAGTTGTATTGGATGGACTCAAAACGTCTCAGTTATACATCTTGTAAGGTANAAGGTTTGTAAGGGTGCCCAGTTGTATTGGAGGGATAGAAAATTTCTCAGTTATACATCTTGCAAGGTCGTGCAGAATTTAGAAAAGTCAATCAGCACAAGTTCAATACCGTGGTGGATATTTAGTTTGGTACAATACCTTTGGGAACTCATAAAGGGTCAGATTTGAACAATACAATTCAGTGGAGTTCAGGAGATATAGATAATGCCGCTTTGCCACCATCACTTGCAGTGCCCTTGTATTTAGTTGCTAGATACGGACCTAGTGGAAAAAGGTATGTGGATGCTCATTTTGCTGAGCATGTTTTAAGTGGAGTTAAAGGTTTACAATCTAGCAAGGAGCCTTATATAAAATCATTTGGTATTGATTCTACTTTGGGGTATGTTACAACCCATTTTGGTTAATTCAAAATCCTTATGATTTTTTGGGAATTTGAGGTAATTCTGTAGAGTAATACTTGGATTCATTGGAAGAGGTGGAGTATTGTGTTTTGTTGGAGAAATTAATTTTTTGGTTATTGTTGAAGGGTCGTTCATTCCTTGGTGGAATTCGTGTCAAGGTGGAGATTGTTAGAATTTGGGTGTGATCCGAATTCCTTGTTGAAGTGATTGAAGAATTCTTATTGAAGTGCATGTCATGAAGAATTCAAATTTGGAATACTATTTGAGTCCAATATTAAGTTGAAGTTCTATTTAGAATGCCTATTGGGAGTTGGAAATCGGTATTAGACTTGAAGAAGAGTTCGGAATGAATAAAAACACTTTGGAACACCTTTGGAAGAAATTTGCCCGAGACGCAGCGCTTAGGCGCCAGCTTGTAGCCCCAGCACCCCGGCGTCCGGGGTGTATTCTTGTCTTCTTCTATTCTTTTGCTTGATCATATACTTCATTATTATTTTACATATAATTTCAACATTTCAATCCAGTGGTTTGTTTCACAACAATTGGTATCAGACCTATTCTGGTGTCTTGTTTGTTTTACAACAGTATTTGAAGTTACAAATCTAAAAAACGACCATGAACCACTAATAATGATAACTCAGACCTTCTGAAGGGTCTTCATTGTCGTATCTTCTTGGTTTCCTGGACTAGGCTGATTTGGATTCTTTTGGTTTTGGCTTTGTTTTGACTTCTTTGTACTGTCTTCTTCAAATTCCGCTTTGTTTGCAAGTTCATTTACGGCTTCCACACTCTTTTCAATTCTTGCAGCAACTTCTATCAGCAATGTGGAAATGGAAAGTATTGGAACAATCTCCGTGAGAGGCACTATGGTAGTACTTTTGTTTCCCTCTTCTGTGCTATGTTTGGAGTCTCCAATAATAGGTTGTTTAGACAGGGATTTCAGGGCGCCTTGAAGTTCTTGTACTGCATTGTTCATCTCGTGCACCATGAGATCAATCTTTATCGATTTTGTCATTGTATTCATAAGAACTGCCAATTCTTTTAACACGTCCGAGGAACTAGAGCTTAATCTTAAGCAACACTCGCCGAAATGCTTCTTTAGGATATCGGGTGCCTGCAAAAACACCGAAAAACATTAATATTATGGACCAAAAAAACTAAGGCATTGTTGGATTGTTTGGTAAGGCATATTATTTACCTGTGTGTCTGAGTTGGTTGTAACATTAAGAGTTTCAATGCAGTAAGCACATTTACGCATTAAAGCCCCGACTTTTAGGTACTCGTTCCACGGATGGCGAAAATTGAATTTCCCATGTGCAGGCTCCCACCTAGCAAAATTAGCCTGTGGAGATGCGGAGTTTATACGTGAGTAATATACTCAAAAAGTAGACTCAAACTTTGAAGTTATTGCAAGAATTTTTTATATGAATCAGAAATATACCATGGCTTCCTCGGTAGCCTTTGAATTAAGCACACATTTGTAACCTTGTAATACTTTGTCTGAATCTTCACCCTTGGCATTTACATTTGCACTGATGCCGAAGTATTCTACAACACAACCTGAGTTTTATGAACAAAACATATTATTATTTTCTATTTTTTTAGTAAATCGACGTGCTATATCATTGTTTATATATGATTTTTTCTGTCTTACCATTTAAAGAAGCAGCAAGTTTTTCCATGTTGTTTGTGATAAGATAGTGAAGTTCAGTTCCTGCCCATATAGGACAGAAAAGCATGGTTATAAAGATGCAAAGGGAGGTTCCTATGGCAATTGTGGATAATCTATGATGAGCCAATTCGAACAATTTATCCACACGATAGCCCGATACCGATACAAAGCTGAAGGTGAGGATAAAGATCATAGCACCATAGTCGAATCGCGCTTTTATCGTTGGAATGAATCGAGAAAAGGTAGCGGCAGCAGCTGCAAGTAAAATAAATGATTTCTCAGTAACTTGTAAACAGCAATTTATAGTTTTCCTTTAAGGGACTGTTTGATAGCACCCATTTTCTGGGGAAGTAGGAATTCGTTTTTCATTTTCCACCTTTAGGCTGTTTGGTAAGCTAAATTTTCCATGGAACTCATTTTCCACCCTTACCTTATTTTCCACCCAATTCTTGGTGCTACTTTTCTATTTTTTTATTTATTTATTTTTTAAACAAATTCTATGGACAATTCTAAAAAAAAAAAAAAATTCTCTTTAATAGACAATTTCCATGAAAAACAAAGTCAAACGAATACCAAAAGATCCAAAATTTCAACATTTTTCAGGTGGAAAATTATACCAATCAAACACAATTAATTACAATTTTCAATAAAACATATTCTAGGCAATTCAATTCCCTGTAATTGTTTCTTCGTATTTTCGTGTTTTGATGCCTGTAATTAGGAATTAAACCTTACAACAGATTACGCTTTGATTGGGAATAAAATGCAGAGTACAAGAAAAAGAAGAAATTCGACCTACCTAAGAGGAAAACCGATACTTGTAGAATTATGGGTTCGAATTTTTCTCCCGACTGCTTTGCAATCCAGTGAATGCCGAGTCCTAATGCTCCAGCCAATAAAGTTCCTATAGCTCTATTCACACATTTAC